AAGATTTTCTCTGTCACTAGATTGAGCTGCAGTATTGATTAGATGGACCTTGGTGTAGTTTTCCTTGTGCTTCCAGTTGGAATTTCTTGGATCTGTGGGTTTATAATTTTCAACTAGTTTCAAAAGCAAAGAACTATTATTTCTTCAAATGTTTTTCTGCTCCTCTTTCGTGTTGTCCCAGGGATGCCAATTGCACATATATTGAGCCACTGGAAGTCCCGTAGCTTCTTGATACTTATCTCTTAAAAATATATTTTTCCTACCCTGCCCAATTTGGCTCAGCAGTTAGAATGTTGGAACTGGACTGAAGAGGCGCAGGATTGATTCCCAGTCCAGGGTGTCTACCTTGGTTGCAGGTTCAATCCCCGGCCCTGGTTGGGGTCATGTGGAAGACAACCAATGATGTTTCTCTCTCTCTCTTTCTCCCTCCCACTCTATCTAAAACTAATCATTGGAAAAATATCCTTGGGTGAGGATTAAAAAAAATTTTTTTCCTATGTGTTTCATTTTTTATAGATTCTATTTCTGTCTTCGAATGTGTTTACATTTTTTTTCTTTATTGATTTTAGAGAGCGAGGAAGGGAGAGGGAGAGAGAAATAGAAACATCGATGAGAGAGAACATTGATTGGCCACCTCCTGCATGCCCCCCAACTGGGGATTGGACCCACAACCTGGGCATGTGGTCTGACTGGGAATAGAACAGGCAACCTCTTAGTGCATGGGTCGACACTCAACCAGTAAGCCACACTGGCCGGGAGAATTTGTTAATTTTTTCTTCTTCAATGCCTAATCTGTGAATATTACCTAGTGTATTTTTCATCTCAGAACTGTAAGGTAGCCAGGCGCCACCGGTGGGAGGTGGAAAGAAACCGAAGAGCCAAACAGCCGAATAAGCAGAAATCAGGCTTTATTGGGTACACTCCGGGCGGGTTCACAGACTCCGGGAGTCGAGTCCTAGAAGCCGCGCCCGATGCTGGGGTTTGTGATTTTTATATCTGCGCCTATGGCAGCGGGAACTTGTTGTTAGGGTTAGGTCCTGCGGGGCTACGCATGGGAGCCCCTGGAATGTGAGTCTATTGTCCCGGGGCAAACAGTTCCTGGACTAGGACAGGAGAATGGGACAGGAGTTGATCTATGAGTTCAGGGCAAACAGTTCCTGAAACAGGTGGGAGTCTAAGTTGGGTAAGTGAGGTGATGGCTGAACAGTTCGCCTGGCTCCAGTTCCCAGGCTATCAGACAGGAACATTCCCATTTTCAGCTCTGTAAGTTCCCTATCAGTTTTTTTTTAATGTCTCCCCTTAACTTTTTGAACATATGGTACATAATTATAACAACTTTTAATTTTTGTATCTGATTATTCTAGTATCTGTGTGAGTTCTGGGTTGGGTTAAATTGATAGATTTTCCCCCTTCATTATAGGTTGTATTTTCATGCTTTTCTGCATGCCTGATAATCTTTGAATGCCAGATACTGTGAATTTTACTTTATTGGGTTCTGCATACTTGTGTATTTCTACAAAATATTCTCAATCCTTTTTCCAGGATGCAGTTGATACCTGGAACAGTATGTTTCTTTCAGATCTTGCTATTAATATTTGTTAGGAGAATCCAGAACAGCATTTAACCTAATGCCATTCCCCAAAGTGAGGCAGTTCTACCTAATACCTAATGAATTATGAAGTTTTCCAGAGTGACTAATGGGAACACTCTTTTTCCAGCCCTTTTGGAGCACTAGTACTGTTCCTTGAATCCTTTTGGATGATTCTCTCCCTGCCTCCGACAGTCCCATCCACACATGCTGACTGGCACTACGCTAAGTACTGGCATGGGAACCTCTTACGTTCTCCTGTTTCTTTCCGTGTAGCTGTCTCCTCTCCAGTACTCTGCTTTGTGAATTCTAGCCGTCTTGATTTCCTCACTCTCAGTATTATCTCTTCAGTTCAGGGAATCTGAACTGGGTTCCCACTCCCTGCACCACAGCCTGGAAACTCAAGGCAGTAAACCAGAGCAACCATAGGGATAGGGCTGATCGCATTGGTTTCCTAATTCTTGGGAATCACTCTTCTTTGTTATCTGAGATTCAGTGTCTTGGAAACTACTGCTCCATATATTTTGTCAGGAATTTTATTTGTTATTTTATGCAGGAAGGTAAATCCAATCCTTGTTAATCCCATCTTAGCCACAACTTGATCCTTTAGAGGTTTGCTTTTGAAGTCTAAGCTTCGTTGGGGCTGATTTAATATAGCCTTGCATGAGAAATGTCTCTACCCAGGGAAGCGTGCTTGAGTTTTGGAGTCCAGAGCTCTTAAAGGGAACTGATCACATTGGAACATGCCAGCTGTGGTGCAGACCCCAAACTAGGCACCATTGTGCGTCGTAAGTCTTCACGTGTACTTAAACAGTGCTGCTGTCTGGTAACACTGTGCCCTGGTGCTCCAGCACACAATAACATCGCTGGATGGTGACTGAGCATTAATTTTTGAGGGCTTTTTCAAGGTTCAGAAACACGGATCCAAGTTCCCCTGGAGATCAGCAAGGATTGAGAGACCCAACTTGCTGCTTTAACTCTTTCCTCACAGGCTAAACTTGCCCTGCTACTAACATGTACGTGAGCTGTTTGTGGGAGCTGACTCCACACACCTCTTCTTGACTCGGGTCAGTTATGGCAAATTGGTAACTTGATGTTGCCTGTGGAGATTATATTTGCAGCAGAGTTTTGGAGCTCTTCCTCTCCGGTGTCTATCCAACAAGTCCCCTGCCTCAGTCATCCTGAGCTGCCACTCTTGTTTCCTCAGCTCAGTCAGACTGCTGAGCTTTGCTGAGCTCCACCTCCCTACACTGCAGCCTGGGGAGTGCCTCTGGGCAGAAGCCAAGGGACTGTGGGGCACACATGATCGTTTCCCTTCTCTCAGGGAGCATTGTTCTGTCCTGTCCGCTGTTCGAAGGATAAAGACACTGTTTCAGATATATTGTTGTTTTCTAGTTGTTTACATTGGGAGAGCTAGTCCTGTTGCTCTGTCGTGATTAGAAGCAAAAGTCCCAATAATTTATTTATATATTTTAAAACAAAATTAACTCACCCAGTTTCAAACATGTAGTAAATTAAGTAGGAAGTTCCCCTGCATTGCATCCAAGTCCCATTACACAATTCCACTGATACTATTTCTTGAAGTTTTTCTCTGTGCATTTACATATAAACTTTCCTATTCACAAGAATAAAAATGCGGTCATACCATGTATACTGTTCCTAATATATGTACAGATACTTTATATAAAATAATGTCTACATAAAGTGCTTTATGGTGGACATAACCATAAATTCTTTTTTATTAAATCCTCAGCCAAGTATATTTTTTCATTTACCTTCAGATGGAGTGGGAGAGGGAGAGAGAGAGAGAGAGAGAAAGAAACATTGATTGGTTGCCTCCAGCACTGCAACCCAGGTTCGTGCCTTTGACCGGAATTGAACCTGTGACTCTTTGGTCCTGGGGCCGCTGCTCTAACTGCTGAACCAAACCGGCCAGGGCCATAAGTTCTGTAAACACTATCTGATTAATGGACATTTAAGTTTGCTTTTTGTCCCTCCACACAATATTACGGGGACACTTGCATATATGTCTTTTGCACACTGAAGTGTTTCTGAAGATTGAACTCCTGCAAGAGATAAAACTGGATTGAATGATAGATGTTTAAAGTTCCCATAAATCCTGTCCCATTGCCCCTCAGATAGATTGCATTAGGGTTCTGTTCCCACCACAGTAATTTTGAGCATGTTTGGTCATGTTAGCCAATCCAATATCTCAGCGTTTTACTATATTTTTAGGGGAATAGAGAATCTTTTCATGGTTTATTAGCAGTGTCTTCAGTGAACTGCCTCTTTGGTAAATTGTTACTGTTGTGGGTTGTTCATCTTTCTTGCTAATTACTCGTAGGAACTCAGAACATTGCCTTTTGTTTATGGATTCGTATAGAAGTTTTACATTTTTATGTGGTTATATTGATCAATCTCTCTTTGTCTTATAATTTTGCCTTCCACCTTTGAAGCTTATAGAACTATTTTGTCTTTTATTCTATTTTATTTTTGCTTTTCCTTTAAAAGTTAATCTCTAATCCAGGAGATTATTATTGTATATGCTATGAAGGAATTCATCTTAATTTTTTTTCAAATACACAGTCATTTGTTATGAAACTATTTAGTTATAATTTAGCCTTTTAAAACTAATTTGAGCCTGGCCTGTGTGGCTCAGTGGTTGAGCATCAACCCATGTACCAGGAGGTCTCTGGTTCAATTCCTGGTCAGGGCACATGCCCAAGTTGTGGGCCAAATCCCCAGCAGGGGGCATGCAGGAGGCAGCCAGTTGATGTTCTCTCTCATCAATGTTTCCATCTCTTTCTCTCTCTCCCTTCCTTTTTCTCTAAAATCAATAAAAAGAAAAAAAATTTAAAAATAAAACTAACTTGAAAGTTGTTTAATCTTATTCAATTCCTATACATATGGGTCTGTTTAGGGACTCTTTATTTTATTTCACTGAGTTCTATTCCATACTAGGCCACTCTGTTTTAATTTAACTTTATCTTTTGGTATACTTTGGTATATCTCTTGCTATATTTGAAATGTGTTAGGTAAGTCTTCTCCCCAAATTCTCTTAAATACATTGTTGGTTACTTTTTCACACTGTGGATAGTAAAACATATTGATGTCATTAGGTTTACTATTAGTGCTTGACATACCTTGGACCACAGAGATGGTAATGATGAATAACAACAACAGCCATCACTGACTGGGCACCTGTTATGTGCCAGACCTAAATTAGGCCTTTCTTGTCTTATGGTAATCTTATTAATCAGGTTCTGTTTTCATATTCATTTTACATAGGAGGAAATACCAGAATCATTTTTCAGATAGCCCATGGTTTGCCTTCCTGTGTCAGTATTGCTGACTTCACTCCTTTCCTAGGTAAATGCTTTATGGCCAAGCGGAAATGTGTTTGGTATTTCAGGAATCAGTGACCTTCAAGGATGTGGTAGTGGACTTCACCCAGGAAGAATGGAAACAGCTGGATTCTGTGCAGAGAGATTTATTCAGGGATGTGACATTGGAAAATTATACACACCTAGTCTCTATAGGTAAGGATAATGTCTCTGAGTTAATATCTGGGGGTATAAAGGAGGAAAAGTGTTTTCTTGTGCTTTGGTGAGTTCTGCCTTTACGTTAAGGAACCAAGGGTTCCTAAATTTTGAAAGGCTTTGAAAAGGTTTCTCTCTCTCTAGCAAGTAGGATAGACTAATAATTTTTCTGAATCCAGATCAGTTCCCAGATTATACTCTGCCGGGGGTTTATAACAGTGAAGCTCGATATACTGGCTATTCATTCCTATCAGATCCGTCCTGCATGTTCGTTCCCACAAAGACGAAGTGGTGGAACTGAATTCTGACGGCACTTTTCCCTTACTGCAGACAGGTACCTGTCTCTTTTTTCCTTCCTCATGAGCAGGACTCCAAGTTTCCAAACCTGATGTGATCTCCCAGTTAGAGCAAGGGACAGAGCCATGGATCGTGGAGCCCAGCATACCCATGAGTGGCTCTGGAGGTAAGTAATGGGTCCTGGAGATGAGCGTCATTAACTCAAACCACCAGCTTGACAGGAGGTTCTCATGTCTGAAAGGTGGACGCACTTGCTTCTTGTGGAGAAATGGGATGCCACCTGGACTCCCTTAGGCTTTGTCAAAATACTGTCTTGACTTACTCTGTTTTTATACTCCTTTCAGGGAAGGTATCCTTACTGCCTTTTTTTAAAGAAGCCCCCCCCCCCTAACCTGGACTCTGGACTGTCTTTCCCACCTCCTTTGGAAACCTTAACTCATTATGATCACCTCAGTTTTTAGCCCTTACAGTTTTCTTTTGAGGTCTACAAGCTCTATCATTAGTACCTTTGGTAACCTAAATTTCCAAGTACTTTCATTCAACATGGCTAATCTAGTTGGCTGCCATCTAGTCTGCCTCCCTGCTTTCCCAACCAAGCTCTGTAACATAATTACATACCTTTCTTAATCTCAGTGTGTAGCTTCTGATCCTATCACTTTACCAGACTATCCTTGACATTATAAATACTTTCTTGTAAATCATTAATTCCTAAACTGCACAGAGAGACCTCCTCAAGGACCAAATCCTGGGAAATGTGCAAAGTTAGTCTAAGTAAGGGAGAACAGTCCAGAGTGAATGAGTGGGGTTCTTTTTTATGGAGGAAAAAAATAGCATGCATGGTCAAATTTGGAAAGTGCTGATTAGCTTAAATTTTATCAAGTTACTTACTAGAGGACCATTCAGAGATTTTTAAAATATGCAGTTGGGGCCCTGGCCGGTTTGGCTCAGCGGCCTGCGGTCCTGAGAGACCCGGGTTCGGTTCCCGCTAAGGGCACGTACCTCGGTTGCAGTTTGTTCCCGGCCCTGGTTGGTCGTGAGGGTGGCAGCCACTCGATGTGTTCCTTTCACATCGATGTTTCTCTCTCTCTCTCTGTTCCTCTCTCTCCCTCCCACTCTACCTGAACAAAAAATGGAAAAATGTCCTCAGGTGAGGATTAAAAAAAAAAAAAAAAAGAAAATATGCAGTTGGGAATTTGAATTTTCAACAGGGTTACTTGAATATAACATGTATCCTCCCCCAATCATGAATTCTTTTCCACATTGCACCTTTATAACCTTTTTCTTAGAATATGGTTTCATGGAATGCAACTTAGAAAACTAATACTGTTTTTTAAAGAATAGTTTATTGATTTTTAGAGAGAGAGGAGAAGAGAGGGAGAAAGAGAAACATCAGTGTGAGAGCACAGCATGAATTGGCTGCCTCCCGCACAACTCCAGTAGGGATCGAGCCCGCAACCTGGGCATGTGCCCTGACCGGGAATTGAATTGGTGCCCTCCTGGTGCAGGGTACAACCCACCGAGCCACACTGGCGAGGGCAAACACAGCCTTTTTTTCTTAACTGAACCTGCCAGCATTGCCTGCCCTGCTTTATTTACTTATCTTTCTCTTCTTGGGACAAGCCCCCTAAGAGTAGAAAGTAGAGTAGAATGGTGTAATTTTGCTTCCTTATTTTATGTACTTTTCTTTTTGTTTCTTCTATTGTCTTCTTTGCTGATAAACTGCCTTTTTTCATTAGTATATTTTACTGATCCTGTTACCCACACGCTTACATCTGTTCTTTGCTCACATACATTCCTATGGCTTCAGTTATTTTTTTCCTTTCTTTTTCTTTTATCCTCACCCAAGGAGATTTTTTCATTTTTGTTCAGATAGAGTGGGAGGGAGAGAAACATCGACGTGAAAGGGACATATCGAGTGGCTACTTCCTGCACAACCCCAACCGGGGCTGGGGACAAACTGCAACCTAAGTACGTGCCCTTAGCGGGAACTGAACCCGGGTCTGTCTGGACTGCGGGCCGACGCTCTAGCCACTGAACCATACTGGCCAGGGCTTTTCCTTTCTTTTTTAAGCTGATATTTCCTAACCTATATTTGAATGTCTTGGTCGGTCATTCTGCTACTTTTGGTGCCAACCACCCCCCTCCCAATACCACTCTAATCTCTATTTCTGTTTCTAATTCTCAGAATACCTAGAGTCACACTGTTGTCCTCTCCACCTCCATAAATTTTTTTCTCCTACCATGTACAACTTTCTAATTTTTAGCAGTGATGTGACTGTTACTTCAGTGTTCCAGGCTAAAATCCATGCCGCCATAGCCAGGTCTTTCTTGTTTATTCTGTCTTGAAATCAGAGTTCTTGGATCTTGTGTTGGTGTTCATGGTGAGAAATCTCAGTGCAGACTGCCTCCTCTCAGTCCCTGTGTGTCTCCTCGTAGCCATTTCTCTGTTGCTCTATGAATTAACTATCTCCTTCCCTGGCTGGTGTGCTCAGTGTTTAGAGCATTGGCCCTCACACTGGAGGGTCACAAGTTTGATTCCAGTCAAGGGCACATGGCTGGGATGCAGGTTCGATCCCCAGTCCTGGTCAGAGTGTGTGCAGAGGCAACCAATGTGTCTCTCTCACATCAATGTGTTTCTCTCTCTCTCTCTCTCTCTCTCTCTCTCTCTCCCCCCTTCCCCTTCTCTCTCCCTTCCACTCTCTCTAAAAGCAGTGGAAAACATATCTTCACCCGGCTGATATGGTTCAGTGGTTGAGCATCAATCTGTGCATCAAGAGGTCACCGGTTCAATTCCAATCAGGTCACATGCTCAGGTTGTGTGCCAGATCCCCAGTGGGGGGCATGCAGGAGGCAGTCAGTTGATGTTCTCATGATGTTTCTGTTTTTTTCTTCCTCTTCCTCTTCTCTCTCTAAAATCAATAAAGAAAAAAATTATTTATTTATTTATTTATTTTTTTTATCCTCACTCGAGGACATTTTTCGATTTTTTGTTCAGATAGAGTGGGAGGGAGAGAGGGAGAGAGAGAGAGAAACATCGATGTGAAGGAACACATCGAGTGGCTGCCACCCGCACAACCAACCAGGGCCAGGGACAAACTGAAACTGAGGTACATGCCCTTAGCGGGAACCGAACCCGGGTCTCTCTGTACCACAGGTCGACGCTCCAACCGCTGAGCCAAACCGGCCAGGGCAGAAAAAAAATTTTTTAAACAAAACAAAACATATCCTCCAGTGAGAATTAACCAAAAAAAATTTTTTTTTAACTATCTCTTTAAATGCAGTTCCCTTACTGGTTCTCAGAGATGGTCTATAAAACTGATTTGGACATTCTCTTACGGTTTTTATCTTTCATTTACTTATCATTCTCCTTAGCTCCTTCCAAATTTCTCCTCAAATAATGGTCTATTTTTTTAATTTTTTTTTAATCCTCACCCGAGGACATTTTTCCATTTTTTGTTCAGATAGAGTGGGAGGGAGAGAGAGGAAGAGAGAGAAACATCAATATGAAAGGCACACATCGAGTGGTTGCCACCCGCACGACCAACCAGGGCCGGGGACAAACTGCAACTGAGGTACGTGCCCTTAGCGGGAACCGAACCCGGGTCTCTCTAGACCGCAGGCCGATGCTCCAACCGCTGAGCCAAACTGACCAGGGCTTGGTCTGTTTTTTTAAATCCTCAGAATTTTCTGTAGCCTTTATGTTTAATGTAATTAGGTCATTCCCACAATAGCAGTTTACTTACTGTTTGTTTTGTTGTTGTCGTTACCCCTCTATTCAGAGAATACTGGCATTATTCTTTTCTTTCAGACTGGGAAGTAAGACCAGGAAATAGCATTTCAGTTCCAGAGCTGGACGTTTCTGAAGAAGAGCCATTTCCAGAGGCAGTAGTAGAAAAATACAAACGTGATGACTCTCGGAGTTCTAACTCCTCAGAAACATGGATGTCTAAAGAAAGTCCAGAGAGGCAGCAGGCAAACAAACAGACATTGACAAGGGAAGTAAAAATAATTGAGAAAACAATACCCACTTTGGAGAGAAACCTTGTAAATCATGACTTTGTAAAAAGCATCAATATTAGCTCAAACCTAGTAATACAACAGGATATGTCCCCAGAAGAGACTGCTACTAAAACAAGCATCAAACAGAATTTAAAACCAGTTAAAAAAGAGAAAACTTGTAAGTGTAGTGAATGTGGGAAAGCTTTTAGTTATTGTTCAGCACTTATTCGCCATCAGAGAACACACACTGGAGAAAAACCCTACAAATGTAATGAGTGTGAGAAAGCCTTCAGTAGGAGTGAAAACCTTATAAACCATCAAAGAATTCATACTGGAGATAAACCATATAAATGTGATCAGTGTGGAAAGGGCTTCATTGAGGGGCCATCTCTTACTCAACATCAAAGAATTCACACTGGTGAAAAGCCCTATAAATGTGATGAGTGTGGGAAAGCCTTTAGTCAGAGGACCCATCTTGTACAGCATCAGAGAATTCATACTGGTGAGAAACCCTATACTTGTAATGAATGTGGAAAAGCCTTTAGCCAGAGAGGCCACTTTATGGAACATCAGAAAATTCATACAGGAGAAAAACCATTTAAATGTGATGAATGTGATAAAACTTTCACAAGGAGCACTCACCTTACTCAACATCAAAAAATTCATACTGGAGAGAAAACCTATAAATGTAATGAATGTGGGAAGGCCTTCAATGGGCCCTCAACATTTATCCGTCATCATATGATCCACACAGGTGAAAAACCCTATGAATGCAATGAATGTGGGAAAGCCTTCAGTCAGCACTCAAACCTCACTCAACATCAGAAAACGCACACTGGGGAGAAACCTTATGATTGTGCTGAATGTGGGAAATCCTTTAGTTACTGGTCATCCCTAGCTCAACATCTGAAAATTCATACTGGAGAAAAGCCTTATAAATGCAATGAATGTGGGAAGGCCTTCAGTTACTGCTCATCCCTTACTCAGCACCGCAGAATTCACACCAGAGAAAAGCCCTTTGAGTGCAGTGAATGTGGGAAGGCTTTCAGTTACCTTTCAAACCTTAATCAACATCAGAAGACTCATACCCAAGAGAAGGCTTACGAATGTAAGGAATGTGGGAAAGCCTTCATTCGGAGTTCTTCTCTTGCTAAACACGAAAGAATTCATACTGGTGAGAAACCCTATCAGTGTCATGAATGTGGGAAAACCTTCAGTTATGGCTCATCACTTATTCAGCATAGGAAAATACATACTGGAGAAAGGCCTTACAAGTGTAATGAATGTGGGAGAGCCTTCAACCAGAACATACACCTTACACAACATAAGAGAATTCACACAGGGGTAAAGCCTTATGAGTGTGGCGAGTGTGGCAAAGCCTTTCGACATTGTTCATCTCTTGCTCAACATCAAAAAACTCACACAGAAGAAAAGCCCTACCAGTGTAATAAATGTGAAAAGGCTTTTAGCCAGAGCTCCCATCTTACTCAGCATCAAAGAATTCACACTGGAGAGAAGCCGTATAAGTGTAATGAATGTGACAAAGCCTTCAGCCGGAGCACTCACCTGACTGAGCATCAGAATACTCACACTGGGGAGAAGCCGTACAACTGTAATGAATGCAGGAAGACTTTCAGCCAGAGCACTTACCTCATTCAGCATCAGAGAGTTCATTCCGGAGAGAAGCCTTTTGGATGTAATGATTGTGGGAAAGCCTTCAGATATCGTTCTGCCCTCAACAAACATCAGAGGCTGCACCCTGGCATATGACTGGTCCAGGAGCATCATAAATGTAGGGGATGCATTTAACTCTACTTTGTCCTTTTAAGTACTGAACAACCAGAATGGATTGAGAAATGGCCTAAATCATTTTAACTTTACACTGTCCTATGGAATAGAAAGTGCACTGGGCTGAAGTAATCAATTTTATTAAGCAACTTTGTAACACTGGAAAATTCAACTGTTTCAAACTTCACTTTCCTCTGTGAAATGAGGGATTTGGAAAAAATGATTTCAAAGGTTTGGAGGTTTATATTCAGGCCATTCATAATGTACTCTTGAATAGGATTACTACACATCAGATTTTGCTGTGTTGCATTTAGAATATATTTATGCATGTTTTGCCAATAGAAAACATTTACGCTTCAGTAATTAGACTAGAGATCTATTATGCTCCTGTTTTAATGCATTTAAGTTGTTCAAGTAACTGGTTCCTAATAAAAAGAATTATAAAAGATCCTCACAGTAATTCGGTAGCAAATAATGGCTTCACTCAGAAGAGCTGAACTTTCCTATTTTCTCTTCTTGTATGTTTTAACTTCCTAGTTGATTACAAATACAGCGTAAACCAGTGTTATTTGACCCTAGTTTCATAGTGGAATCACTTTGGGAACTATAACACTTTATTGCGAAGATCCACCTCCAAAGTAATTTAATTGACCTAAGGGTAGAACCCAGGCATCAGAGTGTGTGTGTGTGTGTGTGTGTGTGTAAACTAATTGTGTTTCATCTGTAAAATAACAAATATCCAAGGAATTAATTTTGTTAGGTATGATAGTGGCATATGTAATAAATAGTTTATGGTTTTTAGAAATGCATAATGAAAGTCTAGGGATGAAATTACATGATATCTGTTTCATTTAAAATATCTCAGCAGCCCTGGCTGGTTTGGCTAAGCAGTTGGAGCAGTGTCCCACAGACCAAAGGGTCATGGATTCGATTCCCTGTCAAAGGCACATACCTGGGTTGCAGGTTTGATCCCTGGCCCCAGTTAGGGTTGTGCGGGAGGCAATCAATTGATGTTTCTCTTTGACATAGATGTTTTTCCCTTTCCATCCCTCCTTCTGTCTCTCCCACTCTATCTAAAAATCAATGGAATAATATCCTTTAGTGAGGATTAACAACAAAAAAGTAAAATATTTCAGCAAACGAATAAAAAGAAAAAAACTAATAGAGCAAATGTGGCAAAATTTTAATAATTGTTGAATCCTGGCAACTGGCATATGGGAGTTCAATTTACTGTTCTCTAATTTGGCATGTTTTGAATTTGTAATTTTAATAAGTGAACATTATGTTTTATCAATTTAATTAGAGAACAGTTTAAAATAGATTTGACTGGTGTTATGATTTTTGAGATTAAAATAATGTCAAAACAATTATACATATGTATTTTTTAAATCCTCACCCTAGGATACGTTTCCATTGATTTTCAGATAGAGTGGGAGGGAGAGAGAGAGAAACATCAATGTGAAAGAGAATTGGTTGCCTCCTGCAGGACCCCAACCAGGGCCAGGGATCAAACTACAACCGAGGTACGTGCCCTTGACCAGAATCAAACCTGTGACTCTTCAGTCCACGGGCCCGTGCTCTAACAGTGGAGCCACACCGGCCAGGGCATAATTATGTATTTTAAAGTTCCATAAAGAAATAGAGTCATTATTTTTCTGATTGGAGGGGGTAACTGGACCTTCAATGTTCATCTGACTTAGTGGTCAGCAAGTGGGGCTATGAGATAAGAACAATGCGAAACATACAATTAAGCATTTATCATTGTTCGAGTCTCAGTTCAGGTCTGCAGAACAAAGAGTTTTGGTCAACCCGTTTTAGTACAGGGGGTGTAAGGTTGATCTGACCAACACAGGGAGGCTGTCTGCCCTGCAGGCAGTTTCAGGGTCCAAGAGAGCAAAGCCGTGCCAGGTAAACAGCTTCATAGTTTAAATCACAAAACATCCAAATGTTGTGCCACAAATTCAAATTTTTGTAAGTCCTCAAAAGGTATGGGCTGGCTGTCTTGATGGCGCACCAGCCCCTCTTCTTAAAATGTATCATCCTCTGATTGCCCTTCCTTTTCATCTCCATTTCCTTTGACAGGGAAATTTTATTTATTACTATTTGGTTAATCCTCAGCCGAGGATATCTTTCCATTGATTTTTTAGATATAGTGGAAGAGAAGGAGGAGAGAGAGAGATACTGATGTGAGAAACACACATCTTGCCTCCCCTGCCTTCCCCATTACCCTGCTTGGGGTAGGAGACTGGACCTGCAACCCAGGTACTTGCCCTTGACAGGGAATCGAATCTGTGACCCTTTGGTCCTCTGGCTGAGGTTCTAACCACTGAGCAAAGCTGGGCAGGGCTACAGGCAAAATTTAAAAGACAGCATGTGTTGGGAGGGTAAAGGCAAAAAGTAATATAAAAAAATATGGCTTTGATGGAATGTAAAAGTTAATGCCCCTCCACCTCCAAAACTGCAAAAAAGAAAGAAAAGAAAAGGCCATCAACGAGGAATTAGGCAAAGGGCTACTCCTCAGCAACTCCAAAGTCCACGTTTATACCATTTCAGACACCTAGGATTCATAATCATCTACAGTTCTTTTTCTGTCTTTGTTAAAAAAAAATTTAAATACAAAATGCTCTGATTGGTTTGCAATAACAACTGAATCATACCAGGAAAGACAGAAAATCACTAGCAAAATTTCAACACAAACTTTTGCATAAAAATGGGATTGAAACATGAGTATACTGATTAGCAAGCACAACCCACAATGCACTTTCTTCATTAATACCAAGTATTAAACTGAATTTACTCAGATCTCCACATTGCTGTATCAAAAAGCATTAAAACTATTAAAAATCGTGAGTGTGTAGTCAAGTTTTTTGTACCACTAACAGTTCTCAATACAGAACTCAGCGAATCTGAAGCAACCCTTTTGTAAAAGAAAAGTGCACTGGCCCGCGGGTCCCACAGTGCGGACCACAGCGCTTCCCCTGCCGTCTGTGTCGTTCACGTGTTAGACCGTGTTCACAGCCCTTCTCAGGAGGCCGGTCGGAGCCAGAATCCATACGTGTGGAAGTTCTGAGTTAACAATTGAAGAAACGTAACAGCGGTGCCGCGCGGTGGGCACTCGGCTGGCGGGGACCCTCCACCCGGAACCACGCCCTCCTGGCTCTTTGGCGCATCTTGCTTCAACCGGGCCCCAAAGCGGCATGAAGAATGGGGTTCGGGAGTGCTGTTGGCTCCACCTCGGAACTTCCCGAAGCGGCCACGTGAAGAAGCGCGACGAGGCCGCAGCTACCAGCCGCGCAGGGCCCGCGGCTCCCGCCCCGCGCGCCGCCTCCCGACCGCCGGGAGCCCCCCACCTCCGCCTGGCCGTGGGCCGGGGAAAGCGGGTCCTCCTGGCGACGTCCATCCGTCGGCTTGAGCCCAGCCACAGTGATTTTCTCCTTAAGACAAAGCTGACCGCTCCCCCATCGTTGTTCGGTGGTGACGCGACCTCCCCACCGGAAAGCCTCACGCACCATTAAGAGAGCGGTGCTTCCCTCGGAGCACGGACGTTTCCCCTCCCGCTGCAGGGCCTGCAGGGCCTGGGGTCTGGTCGCCAGGCGCTCATTTCCATCTACTGAGGAGCCGGAGGCTAAGCAGAACTTGTCCTGACCTGCTCTCCAGCCTCGTCCGCTGGTGCCAGCACGTGTTTCTGCCTGGTCGGCTCCTGTAAGCGTTGAGTCATTTTTGACACACGACAGAGTTACAATGAAACAGATGGCTGTCGCCTGCTATGGCGGGTGGAAGAAATACCTTTTCACTGATTCGGTTGTGACCCTGGTTCTCCAGTTCCCATCACCGACGTACAATCCTGCTGGGGAGGAAATGAAAGACTACAGGCAGGTGTGAGGCAGTAAAGCATAACAATTAGCATTTATTGAGCACATCAGGCACTGTTTTCGTCCCTTTGTGTGAATAAACTCACGTTTCATAACGTGGGAAGCCAAGCGGCCGGTGGTCGAACCTCTGAAGGAGTCAGCTGTTAGGAGTCAGCTAACGTACAAAACTCAAGTAGGTCGGAAAGGACCAAAAGACTACAGGGATGTCACTATTAAATTAAACCCTCCTGGTTTAGATTAAAATAGCCTGCATTGTACTGTGTATTAGATGGAACCTCTAAGAGATTTAAGACAATTTTAAATTTAAAGCTTTTTTTTCTTTATTGATTTTTAGAGAGAGGAAGAGAGAAACATCGATAAGAGAGAACATCAACTGGCCGCCTCCTGCATGCCTCCCCCTGGGGATCGGGTCCACAGCCTGGGCATGTGTCCTGACCAGGAATCAAACCTGTGACCTCCTGGTGGTGGTGGTGGTGGGGGTTGATGCTCAACCACAGAGCCACAGTGATGGGACGACAATTCTAACTTTTAAAGATTATGGAAAACACCTGAAAGAATCACACAACAGAACAAGAAAGTGTGCAAATCAGAATAATGCAGACCACCAAGGACTTCTGAAAAGGCAAGGGGTTGAAAGAGTCACAGAGGAGGTGGCAGGCGCAGACAGGCTTTTTATAGGTGGGGACAGGGTTTGAGATAAACCCAAGAAAGAGAGACGTGCGAAAGGGTGCCATGGAATAGTCTGAACAGCAGCCAATTGTGAGAAGAGGATGTAGTTGAGACCAAGGACTGACCTGCCCACATGTATTGTGGAGTAACAGAAACTAAGTAAACAGATCCAACCAAGGAAAACCTTGAAGTTAAACAGTTTGAATTTTTACTGTGGACCCTTTCTGAACAAAGTGGTGGCTTAATCAGGCAGCTAAAGACAGAGAGGCGAGGACATCAACAATGTGTCTACTCTAGTAATCTGTGCCCAAATATGGAGCACCTGGCAGCAGCAGCAGTTCAGATAAACTCTAGAGGACAGATTACCTGGGATAAAGAGGAGTCAGTAAGCAATAATTACAGGGCATTTAATGACTTGGCAGCACTTTGTGATGTTTTATAGCAGTGATTTTCAACCCTTTCCATCTCATGGCACATAAACTAATTACTAAAATTCTGTTGCACACCTAAAAATGTATTTTTTGCTGCTCTGATAAAAAAAAGTATTTTTATTCATTCATACAAGACAGCTGTTGTGTTGGCTATTATCTTTTTTTTTTTTTTTTTAATTTGACAATCTAAGGGAAAAGAGGTCAGTGCCCCCTGACTAAATAGGCACTGCATGTTTTAAAAATTCTTGGAGCACACCAGTGTGCTGTAGCACGGTGGTTGAAGATTACTGTTTTGTAGGGATGTAAAACAAGACTTCTGTCTTCGAGTAGCTCACAATCCAATTGAATAACCTCATATTATAACAAGCTAGAATGAGATTATTCTGGTCCAACTCTTGCCCAAAGTCACAGAGCTAATCATTGTTCATCAGGGAAATGCTAGGACATAGGAAAAGTGTGGATCAGTATAGAATCATGGATCCCAGACGCTCAACTCTTAAGGTGTAAGAGTGGATAAATGTGCCAATTTGACAAATAATCAAATAGGAAAAGGATGGACAAATAGGTGCTGAGATCAGTGTTACAAGATTGGTGAGAGTCAGAGCCAGAGGGAATCAGTTCATGAAGTCTGTAACAAACATTTTTAGAATAGGGCATTTTTTCCCCAGGATAATTGAGGAACTCAATGTCTGTGAGTTTTAGGACAGTCTTGGTAAGGATGAGATAAAATAACACGAGGATAATCAGGCACATTAGTAGAACTATGGGTTATACTTTGAGAAACATATGCTGCAGCAGAAAAGGTGAGAAAGGAAGAGAACCAATATGTCCTTTTAAGTCTAGAGACTGAATTTACCTCAACACTATTATCTCCAAACTGGTGGAAAGTTTTTTGTCTGAGTCTAAAGCCAGCTCCTCCTCTTCTGCAACTGGCACCAGCAACCACAAATACACATACACACACACAGGATTTCCTCTAAGCGAAGGGAAGGACTGATGTGGTTGGGAAAGAGGGGGTTTGCTGGCTGCTCAGGGACCCAAGCCCCATGGAATGAAGAGACAAGGAGAAGAAATGCAAGGTGTCAGGTAGTTGAATACTCTAAGGTCAGAGCCCTCCAGAGTATCAGATTGCTGTTAGGTGACTGAAGTCATCTTGTTGCATGCATCACTCATTTCAGCATTTAGTTTACAAACAGGAAGGAAGGCTAACTTAACACTGGCTTATCGCTGGCTACTAGGAAAGACTTCAAACACATTTATCTTCCTCTTCTTTCAGCTGCAGGAGGGTGTGCAATGTGCTCTTGCACTAACATCCCCGAAAGCCCAGTTGTCACTCCTTAATATGAAGCTGCTGATGTCTGATGAATGTTGAGCTCTGACTGAAGGCTTTCCCACAGTCTTTGCACTTGTAAGGCTTCTCTCCTGTGTGAATTCTCTGGTGAATCACAAGGGATGAGCTCCGACCAAAGCCCTTTCCACACTCTCTGCACTCATGAGGCTTTTCTCCAGTGTGGACTCTCTGATGTTCCGTGAGGGATGAACCTCGACTGAACACCTTCCCACATTCCCTGCACTCATGAGGGTTCTCTCCAGTGTGTGTTCTCTGATGTTCAATGAGGGATGAGACCCAACTGAAAGTTTTTCCACACTCACTGCACTTGTAGGGGTTCTCCCCGGTGTGTATTCGTTGATGCTGGATCATGGTTGAACGGTCACTGAAGGCCTTCCCACAGTCATCACATATGTATGGTTTCTCTTGAGTGTGAGTTCGCTGATGTTGACTGAGGTTGGTGCTTCGGCTGAAGGCTTTTCCACATTCACTACATTCATACGGTTTTTCTCCAGTGTGGATCCTCTGATGCAGACCAAGGTGGGTGCTCCGGCTGAAAGCTTTCCCACACTCACTGCATTCATAAGGTTTCTCTCCGGTGTGAGTTCTTTCATGTTCAATCAGGTGTGTACTTCGGCTAAATGTTTTCCCACATTGATTGCATTTAAAAGGTTTTTTCCCACCATGAATTCTACTGTGGATGAAAAGGTCTGACTGGTAACTAAAGGTTTTACCACATTCATTGCATTTACAAGGTTTCTTTTGTGAGAAGAGTTTTTGTTGTTTAATTAAGTCTGAATGATCTTTGGAATTTTCCCTAGATATGGGGAATCTAGCTCCCTTTGGAATGTTCTGCTGTGTATTAAGTTTTGAGCTTAGACTAAGTTCACTGGATTCTGGGCCTCTCTCCCCAGTGACAGTCTCCACAAGATTCACTGACACTCTTCTGATGGCTGTTTTCTCTGGAGATTTCCATGCAGGACCTGCTGTCTGCCTTGACAGCTGGCCCTCACTTTCACAGGCTTCTTCATTCATGGGACCTTGGGTGGTCCCTCTAAGACTTTCCATTGCTGACCCTGAAAATTGTCGCTTTTCAGAAACCGCCTGGTTGGTGTTGATGCTTTGGTTCAGTTCAACTCACCCCTATCTGAAAGACATTTAAAGTGCAGATGTCACCTGTGTCTAGTGTGGAGAACAAAGAACATAAACTAGCAGGAAAAAGACAACTAATTTGCAATTCATGCACACTAGCAACTTTATATGGGGAGAATATAAAAAGAGGCAGTGGAAGAGAAGTGAGTAAGGCCAGAAGAGATACCAGGCAGTGTTTTGTTTGTTTCTACAGATAATTCAAGAAATACAGGGAGGTGACTCAGTAATATGGTGAGCCAAAAAAAAAAAAAAAAAAAAAAGGAAATGAGCAGGTACTCCAGCTGAAGAGCTAAGTAGGGCATCATCAGAAAGTAAAATGAGCCCATGAGCATAGCAGCAACAAGCTCACAGCAGGATTTGAGATCTACTGGGTGAGGAATTGATCTGGTTTCAAATTCTTTTTTCTCATAGACTGGGAACCTCTCAGATGTGGAGATGAACCATGGAGACATCTGCCAGGAAGCCATGCACAGAGAACCTCAAGAGCAACATGATGATGCTGTCTGTGTCCAGCTTCACCAAGAGCACGCCTTTCAGCGGAAACAGGGAACACAGAGCCCTACCACTAGGATAGAGGAGGGGTCAGAATTTCTGATGTATTTGGAACCTTGCAGTGAAATCTAGCTGCATACTTTATGGAAACTGGCTCTCCTGCAGGGTTGGCTTGCAGCCCAGATCCTATGCGAATTCATCATCAGGGTACTTCTCTCTCTTATTAAAGCAGTCCTCAAGGCAGCAGTGCCACCTCCTAGGAAGAGTTTTGGAAATTTGTGAGTTTTTTGATTGTCCTATTGACTGGGGGCCAGGGATGATGGACATTCCTGCAAAACAAATACTGTTCCTTATCTGGCCAGACTTTCAAAAAAACTGTTACCTGAGACTGGAATCTAACACTACTTGACGTGTAAATACAAGTATTTTGCACAGCTTTACTATACTTTGGACAATCAAAGAAACATACTTCTTTTCCTTTGAATGTTATTAGGATGTGCTCACCATTTCAGTAAAATCAAGCCATTCATGTTATTAGATTCACAGAAACAACATTCAAATATCAGTGTGCATTTGTAGCTGTTGCAGTCACAGTGATTCTTTGCATAGGTGCATTGGTTTCATTCAATCATTTACATGCTGAAAGACATATTCTATCATAAATTACTTTCCATTTTGGCCCTGGCCGGTTTGGCTCAGCAGTTGGAGTATTGGCCCACAGACCTTTTTCTTTGGTCATTGGGTTTGATTCCTGGTCAAGGTCACATACGTGGGTTGCAGGAGGCAACAACCAATGTGTCTCTCACATTGATCTTACTCTCACCCCTCCCTCCCTCCCTCCCTTCCACGGGTGAGGATTAACAACAACAAAAAAATTACTTTCCTTTACTTTCTCCTTTATATTATGGTTAAGGTAATACATTGGTATTTTGGAAATTATATCTCTAGGTAGTTACTATTATCTATAAACTTTACTTCAGAATTGTAAAGGGAATGGTAGGTCTGAAGGGCAGGGAGATACTTCTCAATGCAATGGAACTAAAGTATTGATAGTTACCTGAGAGGTGAGTAGTGTATCTTTTAGTAGGTCATTGGCAAAGCTTCTAAAGCCTCCAGAGCAAAAGTCCTCGTCCCAAATGAAGTCCTTAAAGATCCGAGAACACCCACACCACCATAGAGGTGATGTGAGAACAACAGGATTGTGTACATTGTGAACTATGATGATTTTTTTTTTTTTTTAATCCTCACCCGAGGATATTTTTTCCATTTCTTTGTACAGATAGAGTGGGAGGGAGAGAGAGAAACATCGATGTGAAGGGACACATTGAGCGGCCGCCACTCGCACGACCAACCAGGGCCGGGGACAAACTGCAACCGAAGTACATGCCCTTAGCAGGAACCAAACCCGGGTCTCTCCGGACCGCAGGCCGACGCTCTAACCGCTGAGCCAAATTGGCCAGGGCCTATGATGATCTTTTTACATATTACATTCCATCCTGGAGATGTGATATTGTTGAGGAAATAGTTAGGGTTTTGGAGGCAAAGGGAAACCAGGAAGAGCTGAAATGTGAAGATCTTTATAAATTTTCACACTAGAACCATTCACAAAGAGTGTACTTAAAAGGAGGCAGAATATCCTGAACAGGAGAGAATCAGGACAGAGTTCACAGGAGGTAGCCAGTGCAAAGTTTAAGGTTCATGCTCATGCTTATTAATATCTTGATGATGCTATAGTGATCCAATTTGATATAAGATTATAATTCAACTAATGTATATACAGTGCGCACTACAGGAGTCCCAAAATGTAGTAGTTTTTGCATTTCAAATACATTCATGACACGGATAACTGTATCATGCAATAGGTGTCTGTGTGTGTGACATGTGATGGATACATAGACACTCCACTGGGGAAAGCATCTAACTTGGAGGTGCAGCCTCTGGAAAAGGGCTTTCTTTCGGTCTTTTCTCTTGTGTCTGCCTTTTCTAAGTATTTTACAAATATTGACTCATTTATGCCTCACAGTGATGGGGTACTACTATTATTCCCACAATACAAATCAAGAACTGAGACACAGACAGGTACACCCAAGCCAAATGATAAGTCCTGGACTCAAACTCACTACGCAGTACTTACTGCATCTCAACAGGTAGGGAAAGAACATTCAAGTCTCACTTTTCATTCCTGTGGCCCCTAAATGGCCAAGAAACTAAACTCCTCTGCCCCCAGGACACCAGCCCAAATTTGACCCCACAGTGCCATGGAGGCTTAGAGAGTGACTACCCTGGAAGGCTGCAGTGAGTTCCAAACACAGTAAAGCCCTATCTATGTAACCTTAACCCAAGGATTAAATTTGCTAACTCCCACTAAAGTGCCACCACAATGCGAGTGGTGACTTTGGCATGAATCAGTGAAACATCAGACAGAGGACCTGTGGGGCAAACATTTGCCAAGTAATCTGGATTTGGGGCATAGGTCTTTTGGTAACTACATAAAAACTAGAGGGAAATAACCAATCTGGTTTTATGTCCCTTCATCTGTAAAATGAAGATGTAGGACTTGATGATTTGGCTCAAAGCTATGATTCCTGAAGTTTAATTTTAGGTCCCAACTCTGAGGCACATACCGTCTGCCTAGATTTGGGATGAGATTAGCATAAACAGATTCTTTCAAACACCCAGAGACATATGAGAACCTCAGGTCCAAGTTTCAAATGAAACCATTCTAGAAACAAGGCAAAATTGCCTTGGCCAGGCAGCTCAGTTGATTAGAGCATCAGCCAGATATACCAAGGTTGCTGGTTTGATCCCTGGTGAGAGCCCAGAGAACAATCAACCAACGAACGCATAAATAAGTGAAACAATAAATTGATGTTTCTTTCTCTATCTCTCCCTTCCTCTCTCTCTCTAAAATCAACCAATCAATAAAAATTAAAAAAAAAAAAAAAGAAGAAGAAACAGGCCAATATAGCTGTGTTCTTGAATTGCCTAGGAATGAATACAGCAAGGGAGTATGGGGGACATTAAGAGTAGTTAGCAGGCAAATTGGGAATAGTCTCGTACTGCGCATAACTTGGTGGACTCACCTAAGAAGGGAAGTTCTACAAAAAGAGAAACAAACGTCTCTGCTCAGCCAGAGGACATAACTCTCAGAAAAGAAGCATGACTCCTTAATGTATGTGGGCTATAGATCTAACAGTGAAGTAGAAAGTTGCCTTTCTGTATTCCCCCTCCTCTTGGCTTTCTTCCTGGTCGAAGGCAAAGTTGGGAATAGGTCTTACACCACCTCTTCCCAGAAACAAAGAAAAGAACAAGACATTTATTTATGTCTGGGTAAGTCCTAGTTCTTTAAGGATAAAAGGTAAAGGGGATGGAGCTGGACCAAATCCAAACTCTCTCTAGGTGGTCTGAGGTACATATCCAGACTCTTTGTCAATTTTCTCACATGGGGTATTAGTTCACAGGGGGTATGGCTTAGTTCTTCCAGAAGGTCAAAACAGAAGGCACCTAACTCTTCCACTACCATGGGGCTGCGTTTCCCGAGAAAGACACCCTCTTTCTGAAACCTGGTCCGACACTGCAGAGTGGCACTACCGGTGCTTACCCGTCTTTCCTCATAAAGCTTCTGTGAGTGCTACAAATGAGAAGATGGCAGACAGCAAGGAGTGTTACATACAACATAAGGAGACTGTATCATCGCTGTGCTTACCTCAACAAATTCATTTAAAACTGTGATGGAATATGTTTAAGGAAAGATGCTCTAAGAGGATCTGAGAGGCTCCCTTCAACAACAGCTGCTGCTCCATGGCGTGGACAGATGCATTCTTTTCCTGGCTGCGGAGGATGAACATGAAATGGGGAAGGGAGGATGGACAGATGTGACAAAAGTCTGGGGTGGGGGCCAGATATATTTTAGATAGGCCAGGTGGGCACAATCTCTGCAAGGTTAGGGCCATACCTTTATCCAGGTTTCACACAGGGCTCCTCCATCATGGTGTGAAAAGTTGCCTCTCCTTTTCTCCTCCACCTCTTTCTTCTTCATACTTGGTTATCTGCACGACCTTACAGCTCTGCAGACATTGTGTCCCTACAGAAGCTCTCAAGTGCAGTTGTCACAAAGTGCTGAGGCACCAGCAAATGCTACCTGCTCCCTGTGACTAATTTTCCAGCCCTGACAGTGCTGGCCACCTTCTGTCCTAACCACCTGAAATTCCTCTGACCGCACCACTCACTTCCTCTTATAAGGTATTCTTGATCTGGGAAGAAATCTCCCTTTTTTCTGCTTCCTTTAACATAAAGAAACCATGCCATTCCCAAGGAAGCAGGTTCTGAAGGTTAGAGGTCAGCTCTTCTCCGGGCTGCCTATTTTCTTGGGCCTCTGCACAGAGGAATTGGCTCTCCGAGATAATCACATCCTCAATCCTCGCAAGGACGGTCTTCAGACAAGTGTTCATGGAAAGGGGCTCAGAATCGAGACAAATCCACAGAATTTTATGTATGTAATGTGTCACCACCTCGATCAACAAATAACATCTACCATAATCAAGTACCAACCCTCATTATTAGAATCATAAAATGAAGGCACTGTAACTTCAAGAAAAGTGCTTTAAGCGCTGCGTGCCTCGGTTTCCCCATCTGCAACGGGGCCGATGATGGTACATCCATCTCATGGGGTCAGTGGGAGGGTCAGACAATGTAGCAAACCATGGTGCAGAAGCCCTCCTCATCCCGCCGGAGAGGAGTGGAACGCATCTCCCCGGGCGCCCCAGGCCCAGCGCCTGCGACAGTGCGGCAGGGCCAGCCGAGCCCGCCCGCGAGGCCAGCGCCGTGCGCGGAGAACTCCGCCCAGCCGCAGAGGCGCCGGGTCAATCCGCGACCAGACCCCGACCCACCGCCCGTCTCCCCAAGGAGCCCAGTGTTCCCGCAAGACAGCTTCCCAGAGCCCCCGCCCACCCGCCCGGCTCTGCCGCAGAGCTCTGCGCGCGCCACTCACCGGCAGCCTCCCGCCCAGCATCGGACACTCACCCGGCTCGCACGGAACCTGAGTGCGCGGGGCATGGGGAAGCCGGAAATATTAACAGGAAACCCCTACGCGGACTGGCCGCTCCCGCGCTCGCCGATCTTCCCGGGCCCAGCCGCTCTTCACTCAGACCCCGGGTCTTTCCCGCACGGTGTGCAGGGAGAGTCCATGCCGAACAGCTGCTGGGACCATTGCTCCAGGTGCAGACGACCGGTTAGGAAACCGAGATGGCAGGGGGTGTGGCACGGCAGGCTAGCGCCCGCTGCGCATGCGCGGATCCGGTCCGCGGGCCTGGTTCCCGGGTGGACCGAGTCCTCCGAGCCCCTGGAGACGAACGCTGCGAACACCGAGCCACGCTTAACACGTGGTTTTACATAGCTTGTCCCGAGAGTTGGTCAAATTGAGAATGGACAATAAAGGGACTCAGCTGATCGATGTTTGGGAGGCTTAAATTATACTCAGTGCGCAGCGGCCGTTGCCGTTACTGTTTCAGTGATCACACCCGCGCTTCACGACTCTCGCGTTTGCTCTTCTCACGGCTCGCGAGAGCGCGTCTCCTGTCCTTTCGGAACCCGGGGGTCCTCTCTTAGCCCTCTGCCACCTTCTCAGATAAAACCGACTGAGTTTCCTGCCCTTCGTCTCTTGCTGTGTACGACAAAGTAAAGCTCCAATTCACCCGATTTAAACACTTGGTCGGGTCGGAAAAGCGCAGCCTGGAGGTGATGGCCCGGGCTGGGCCGGTTGTGGAAGCGCAGGTCTCCGACCTGCGCGGGAAAGAGCGGGGCGCAGGAAACTACCAAAAGGAAGGTCGTGAAAGAATGAGCACCGGGCACCTGGCCGAGGGTTTTCCCTTGGGCCTTTCACTCCTGTCTTCTCTCCCGACGCGTGTCCACCCGGGACTGAAGGCGCTCGGAGCCTTTCCAGCCCCCCATGAACCGTCTTGGGGAAAGGACTTTCAGCCAAAAGTAAAGACCTACGTGGGTCAGGAACAAGCGTCCCCTCCCTGATGTCCACAGAGAAGGGGCCAGGCCAGCGATTCCACGCAGATTAAAAGGGGAGGCAGCATCACGCGCACCTGAACTGCCCTCACTACTACGCAGGGACCAGCAGTAAGCTGATGGGTGTCATTTATAGAATGAGTCTACTTTAAGTTTACTTACATATTTCTGTAGAGGAAAAAAAGGAATATATTCATATAATCAACTTTTTAAAAACGTAAATATATTAAATTTAACTGATTTACAAAACTGGCTACCAGAACAGGACGGGAGGGGGGGGGAGAGGGGGAGGGGAGAAGGGAGGAGAAGAAGAAGAAAGAAAGAAAAGAAAAAGGAAAAAACAAAACTGAGTACAAAAAAAACATACTGAATGGTGGACAGATTATCTACGATCATTTACTATAAAAATAATAAACTATTTTTTAAATACTCCTTAAATTAGAAAATAGATTATTTTTAAAAGGGAAAAATAGACAGCTAACTTGAATACAATTATTGTGGCGAATTTTTTTGTACAAATAACTGATTTTTATACGAATACCATAAGGTCTCATTTAAGTTGAAACTCAATATTTTGCTAAGCCAGAGTCAACTAGGTGACTAACATTCTGAAAAATTAAAAAACAAATAACTTTAAAGATTACTTTTCAAAAAGTTCCTTCTAATAACAATAAAATCGGCACAAATCGAATCTTACTCTAAGAAAAGTCGTCGGAAAATGAGTTCCCTTCAAAACCCACTGTGTCCAAAAGCGGGTGCAGACTTCTCTCAGTTCTTTTCTCCCCCTCCAGGAGCTCTTGCGCCAGGTGGGCCGTGAGTGGCGAGATGGAGGCGTGGACTGAGCTCCGACCAGCGGTGCCTGCCCGGGCTCAGGTTCTGGGTACATAGAAGAGACATCCCGAGGCCCTGCCTGACTCAAAGGACGAGCAGTGGGAGGGCAACCCGGATTCTGCTCTGGGCGGAGACCCAGGATGAGGCCGGGAGGTGGCTGCGTCTAGAGCTTGTCTTCCTGGCAGATGACTGGCACCTACTTGGTTGCAGGAAGGCAAGGGCAGCGGGAAAGGAGAACCGGCAAATTGGGCGCCCAGTGTTCCTGGCTGCTGCGTCAGGACCTCCATCTGGCTGCACAGAAGCACCATCGAGTCTCCAGTCCTGGGTTCCCCGCTCGGACTCGGGAAATCTGGGCGGAACTGCGAGCCTGCTGTAGCCAGCGCCTGGAGACAGGCCCACTCACTCCAGACCTCAGCCGCATGGTCTCAGACAAGCGCTCCGCGCTCTGCCTCGAAACTCCTTGTCCGAGCGCTCAGTTTAGGCCTCCAAACAGCAGAGCCTACGGAGCTGCTGAGACTCCGCGTGCCCCTGTTCCCACCCACGCTAATCTGCGGTCTCAGGGCCTGTGGGTGTCGAGCTCCCCGAGACCATTGCATTTTCCTCGCGCCCAGATCCAACCGTCACCGAACCCAGCGCACTTGGACTCGGTTGAATCTGCAGATGTCGGAAACCTCGGAGGCCGACACTGTCCTCAAAGTCGCCGAGCTGCCTCACGGCTCTGCATGGGCAGTTACGTGGGCAAACCGGGACCTCCGCCATCCCCGGCAGAGGGGCTTACAGATCTGCCCCAGAGGCCTGTGACCCGCCGGCCCTCTCAGGCCCTTCACCAGGTCCACCGGATTCAGCACGTCCATCGCGCCCACCCAGCCCCGAGGCTCAAACCTGGGAGAAGGCCGCGGAACTGGGACCCCACCAATCCCGCTTCGTGGGTAGTGAATGAGGCCTGGAGGCGCTTTCCCATGAAGCAGCCTCAGAATTCCATCGTGGGGCCTCTTCCCTCAGACTGGTGGGAAAGTTACTTAAAGCGGACTGTTTGGTCTCTTCGTCACCCCAGGGCAGTATGGAGCCCGGTGACTATCAAGATCACTCCTCCCGAGCCAAGGAGGCTTCTTGCCACATCCCCACCACAGGCCATCAGTTTAGTGGAGTCCACACCCTCTGAGAAGCTCCCAGACCCACGTGCAAAGGAGACAGTGCTCAGGGTCCTCAGAGAGTGCAAGAAAGGGAGACTGAGGTTTGAAGAACCACCGTCCCCATCCCCAGAAAGGTCAGACAGTAAGAAGAGGAGTCCAGATGCCAACTCATCTGCATTTAAGCCTCTGGTGAAAAGTGGAGACCTTGCTTCCTTTGTGCCCAGTCTTGGGCCTCTGAAGAGAAGCCTTGACTCCTGGAGCTCAGACCACAGCTTGAATGGGAGGCCCCGGTCCTCCTGCGGGAGCTCCTTGGCCGGCTCACACACAGGTGGCCCCCTTGGCTCCAAAAGAAATGTTATTACAAGCTCTTATAGCTCTGCCAGAGATTTCTCTGAGCCTTGGAAGAGAAGTGTTCCCTGTGCACACCTCCAGATGCCAGAGTGGCCAGTAAAAAAGAAAAAAAGTCATCAGTGTCACTTTCCAGCCCCACTGGCACCAGAGGAGTCCCCAGCATCATCTGGCAGTACTGGGACACAAAATGAGGAGATTCCCCAGCTGCACTCTAGTCCAGGGACCCTGCTGTCCCTGAGCCCACCTTCCCAGTTTGGTTATACAGTTCCTGCTGAGAACCTGGTCTTGGGAACAAAAACTGGCATTCAGTGGGGCAACAAAACCAGAAAGGATACTACAGAGGTCACCACAGATCCTGTCCCTGAGGCTTGGTCTGCTATTCCGCCTTCCCTGTCTCTCATTCTGCCTTCTGCAGGCACAGCTCCAACCGAGGACACAAATCCTCAGGTGGCATCTCCAGGCCCACTAGCTTCCCCAAAGTCTATGGGAGAGGAAGTCAGTGTAGCCCACTCACCTCTGAAGACACCTGGCCTGCCGGCCCTACCTGGGTGCTCACAGTCAGAGCCCCTTCCAGGCCCCTCTTCAAACTCAAATCCCACAGCTCCTGTCACCCTTCTGATCCCTGTTTCTCCTACATCACCAGTCACTAACACTACAGGACCACCTTTGGCCTGTCAGGCTGACAGGTCTGCCATGCTCCCAAGGCCACCTGCCATTACCCCTACAGTGCCCTCTACACAAATGACTTTGCTTGGAATGGTGAGGAGTCCAGCTTGCCATCTTTCTGCATCTGTACCTCTTGCTGCAATTTCTGCTGACCCCACATCAAAACCTATTTGGGGGCCCCCACCCAACAGTGAGACTGGAGTCTCCTTACCTTCCAGAATCTCAGTCACAGCTGCAGCACGGTCACTTCCAGGCATCTCAGTACCCACCTTCAAGCCCATCTCTGGCAGCATAGAACCACTTAAAACTATGCCCATGACAGCTCCTTTCTCTTTCAAGCAGACTTCTCCTCCAGCTCCTCCTGCTTTTACACACCTCTTCCACGACCTGGTCAAGTCTACCTCTGTAGCCACCTCCACCACCACAGTCAGTGCATCCAAAGACTCCTGTTTCAAGCCACGTCTTGATTTTGGTGTAGCCGGTGTTACCAGTACTGCAGGCAACACTCACTTTGTCCCTTCCACAATTCACACTTCCCTTCTTGGGGCTTCTGGTGCCATCAGGGCCAGCATCTCCCCAGTCACAGGCTTTGTTTTCCCGCCTCCTCAGCATTCTACCATCCCTGTAGTAAACACAGTCAACATCTTTAACCAGGTTCTTCCCAGCACTGTCCAGATGTCCCCTAGTAAGAGCACTGCCAATTTTAAGGGCAAGAGCAGCCCTCTGTCAGCCTCAGCCCTCATAACCACAAGCCAGCCCACACTGTCATCGAGCATCTCCAATCCAACCTCAGCATTCACGGTTCCTTTGGGGTCAAGCTCAAGGCCACCTTTCCCACTATCCCCAAGAGCCACTCCCCAGCCTGCTTTTGGGGCTGCAGTTGGGCAAAAGCAAGGGGCTGCCCAACCAGCCCTTAGCCCAAGCTTCGATAGCTCATCTATTTTAGAAAACTCAACAATGGCATTGCCAACCCCAACCCTAATTCCAACTCAGCCAGCCTTCAGCAGCCCAACACAGTCAGCCTCTACCTTCCACATCCCTGCCAGCATCCGGCCAAATGTAGGCGGCACCCCAGCAAGTTTTCCCTTTGGTCAAGCTAGTGCCACTAGTTTTGGAGTTGTCACCCAGACCCACCAGAGTGGGGCTTGTGGATCAGTGTTTGGCAGCACAGCCCCACGACCTTTTGCCTTTGGGGGATTAGTGACTGCTATGGACTGTGGGGAGTCTGAGGTCAGCATGACTGTCCCAGACATGAGCTCCAACTCTGGGGTATTCTCCATTGAAGCAACAAGTGGAGCCACTCGTACTGTTACACCCTTTGCAAAAGGCTGGAGTCAGAACACCCAGAGCCTGGCTAGCCAGAGCACCCCTTTTGTGTTGGGGAGGGCCAGCATTTCTGCAAGAAAGATTATGTTTGAGCCTCCTCACATCACCCCCTTAGCTCAGAGCATTCCTATCCCTAAACCAATTAAGATAGGCAGTACCTTTGACTATGGGTTTCCCTCTCTGCCTGCTCAGGGCTCCACTGGGAGAGGGTCTTTCAGATCATCAGTCCCTTCATTTTCCATTGGTGCAAAACCAAAAACCCCAAAGAATCGGGAGCAAGGGCATTCCCGAAGGCATCATGCCCACAAGAAATAGTCTGTGTTCCTCACTATCACTCTGACTCAGACTTCAGTGTTGTTGGGAAGAGGCTCAGTATGTTCTAATTTCTAAGGCAAAAATACCTAGATTTAAGGTTAGAGTTTTATGTTCACTTGTGGGTCCTCATCTACATTCTAGAAGATGGAGCACCAAGATGTCTAGTGGTGATAGCAGAAAGAAACTGAGTGGAACCTCTGGACTTGAACAGAACCTTACCTTCCCCTTCACAGCATCAGGTGTGAGCTTAGTCATGACACTGCCTCCTGCTTTGTCCCTGGGAACAGATGTGCTAGGAAGGCAGCAGGTATAGCCCCACTGTCTTGCATCTTTGGGAGAGTCCTTCTCTTCACTGTGTTTAATAGGATTGTCATGAGTGCTTTCAGTTGGGTTTGGAGGACGAATGACTTGTAAGAGTGGTGCTCTGTTGTTAGAACCAGACTTGCCTATGTAACATAAGTCTGGAGCCTAGGTAATTGGATGAGTCAAGTTGCACCACATTATAGTGACAAATGCCAATTTTCAAGTTTTTTATTTTTATTTTTTTACTTTAAGGGATGACTTGTCAGGAAGAAATGGGGCCAGGGCAGGGACAAGTAGGGTGGTGCAACCTTGCTTCTCTGTACAACTTAGTCTGTGTTGCCTCCAGTAGGAGCAAGAAATACTCAGTTAGGGAACCAAAGTTTACACCTCATTTTCCTTTTAATTTGTACCTTAAACCACTCCTCCACATTCACATCTTTTCCGGGGAGGGTAGGCAGGGCAGGAAGTCTCCTGGGCCTGAGAACAAAGGAAGAAAGCACAGGAGAACAGATTCCTTGGCTCGTGGGAGGTCTGTGAATGAGCTATGGCATGGCCTTAGCACCTCGCATCATCCCGAAGGGAAAAAGGGACAAGAGCGAATCCCTGCAGATGTCTTGTTTTATGGATGCCTTGAAAGAGGCCTATTTGGAAAACTGGACCATCTTAAATTGAATAATAAAATAAAAATTGTCAAAATAAATGATGCAGAGATTATTGTTAAACTCGTCAGTTTGGAGGCAACAAGTGTTAAATTGCCCTTTGGCTGGTGACTGCAGACACTGGACTCAGCAGGCGTAAGGTGGGAATATCAGAAATGAACTTGGCTGCAGGGATTTGTATGAATGAGGAAAGGGGTTGTAGAAAGGAAGTGGGGAGCAAACAAAATGAGGTCCCACCGAGATTCGAACTCGGATCGCTGGATTCAGAGTCCAGAGTGCTAACCATTACACCATGGAACCTTCTTGTCGGTGAGGCTCCCTAAACTTTTGGTGACCTAGCTCTTCTTCCCAAGTCCCCTGACACAGTCATAAAGGTATCAAGTTTATCTGCTTTTCCTTTTCTAGGATTAAGTGGTGGACAGTTACCTGTCACAAGCTGGCCGACACCTTTCATACCAGAGTCTTTATGGAAAGGACAGCAGGGAGAGAGGCTCTGAGCCCACGTCTTTCCGGGAGCTCCCTCCCTCCCAGAGCCGCACGGGCTGTCAGGCGAATCTTAGAGTCTTCAGAGACTAGGAAAGAACAACCTTTTAAACATTTCTCTTTGCAGTGTATCTCTTGTTGATTTGAAAAGGAGATTAGTTGGTACTTGGGAAAGACGACTTGAAATCAGATGGCCCGTTAGCCTGGCCGGTGTGGTTCAGTGGTTGAGCGTTGACCCATGCATCAGGCGGTCACTGATTCGAATCCCAATGAGGGCAAATACCTAGGCTGTGGGTCAAATCCCTAGGCGGACCAAATGGTTCTACCTCTCTCTAAAGTCAATAAAATAAAATAAAAAGACTTAAAAAGTAAGTAAAACACACTTTTTAAAAGTTGCTAGCTATCTTGGCCAGTTTGGCTCAGTGGTTGAGCATTAACCTGCAGACCCGAGAGTTCTGGTTCAGTTCCCACTAGAGGCATATACTAGAGGGGGGGGGTAGCTAGCTTTTCCACTTTTTCCCCCTTTAGGCAGTGGGCTCCCACTCTTGAGCCCTCTGACCCTGGTGCAACTCTGCTCAACCACTGCTCCTGGAGGAAAAAACAAAGCACTGTGAGGGGAAATGTGGAATTTATGGGAACTGAATTGGGTTATGTGTGGATTCAAAGATAACGAGAGTGATGGCTTTGGAACTTCTTAAGACATTATACGTTATAGGTTATTCTCTGCTTTGTATCAGTTAAGAATCTAGTTTCTCTAAAAAATAAACACCCCTGACTGATTTGGCTCAGCGGTTAGAGCATTGGCCTGCTCACCAGAGAGTCCCAGGTTCAGCTCCCGCTAGGTGCACGCAGCAAAATAAAATAAAAAATAAACAAACCTGGGGCTTATATGGGTATCAAACCTGAGATCTTGGGGTTAATTAGAACCATTTTCTAACCAACTGAGCTAACCAACCTCTGACTTGCAAAAACCTTTTTTTCTTTTTTTTTTAATGTTAAGTTCAAAACAGTTGTTACATACATACCAATGACTTCTGAAACCTTATTCAAACTGTCACATTTAAGAGTTCCTGATATGGTAGGCCATTAAGAACTCACCTGACCATGGATCAGAGGACTCTAGGTTTAACTTCTGGCTGGGTTGCCTTTCTTCCATTCGTCTTTATGGGAATCTTGTTTAAATGGATACTGAAGTGAATTCTTAACATTTTTTGTTCATAGCAGCACTATTTACAATAGCTAAGATCTGGAAACAACTCAAGTGTCCATCAGTACATGAGTGGATAAAAAAGCTGTGGTACATATACACAATAGAATACTATGCAGCTGTAAGAAAGAGAGATCTCTTATTCTTTGAGGCAACATGGAGGGACCTGGAGAGTATTATGCTGAGTGAAATATGCCAATCAGAGAAAGACAAGTACCACATGATCTCATTTATGGAATATCATGAACAAAATAAGCTGACAATCAAAATAGATCCAAAGACATGGAAGTAGGGAATAGACTGACAAATCTCAGAGGAAAGGGGGTTGGAGGATTGGGAAGAGGAAAACCAAAGAATTTACATGCATATAGTCCTAAGCAACAGATACAGACAATAGATTGGGGAAAGCAGGAGGGGGGTGGGAGCAGGGAAAAGGGGGTCAATGTGGGAATAAGTGGTGGACATTTTTTAAAAGTTTTTTGAGCCTGGCTGGTGTGGTTGAGTGTTGATCCCTGCACCAAGAGGTTGCTGGTTCGATTTCCAGTCAGGACACATGCCCAGGTTGTGGGCCAAATCCCCAGTGGGGGGTATGCTGGAGGTGGCCAATAGATGTTTCTCTCTCTCTCTCTCTCTCTCTCTCTCTCTCTCTCTCTCAAATCAATAAAGAAAATAAAATTGTTTTAAAAGTTTAATCCAATTATTGTGAAATTCTCCCTCGGATTGTTGCTGTTGCTTCAAAATTTAATCTTGGCTGTTGCTTAATTTGGAATGGGTCTTCGGAGTAATCAAAGGAACACCTATAATCTAAGATTCTATTTTAAAAACTATACTGCTTGGGAAGAAATAAACCAAAGAACTTATAGCATAACCAATGGACACAGACAATAGTGTGGGAAAAGGCAGGAGGGGGACGGGAGTGGGGAGGAAGGGGTCAATGGGGGAAAAATGAGGAACATCTGTAATACATTCTACATTCAACAATAAAGATTTAAAATAAAATAAAATGAAAACTATACTGCTAATGATGGGGAGATCACATAGAGAGCTATAGAACATTTGGAATCAAAGAGGCTTTAAAGGACAAACAGTGAAAAAGGAAAAAATGTGGGTCTGAGAGCATAATACTTTTCACATTGGGCAAAACCCCCACCCAAATATGAAAACAACCTACTGTCCATCTACAGATAAGTGAATAAGAAAGATGTGGTATATTCCACATAGCCACATCGTATGGAATATTATTCAGCCATGGGAAGAAGGATATCCTGCCGCCTGTGACAACATGAATTAAACTTGAGATGCTGTGCTAAGTGAGATAATTCAGACAAAGACAATCGTTGTATGATCTCTCTTACATGTGAAATCTTAAAGAACAACAACAAAACCAAGTTCATAGATACAGAGAACAGAGAGTGGGGTGGTAGCGGGAGAAATGGGTGATGGGGAGACATTTTATGTTCATGGATGAGAATATTCCTAAGATGACAATAAATACTCTCTAAATTTATCTGAAATTCAACACAATCTCTATCAAAATCTCAGCTAGCTTTGTTTGTTTGGTTTTTGGCCTTTTTTTTTTTTGGCAGAAAGTAAAAAGTTGATTGCAAAATCCATATAGAAAAGCAAAAGACCCCTGAACATAGAATGTCTCTCTGTTTGTTTAGTTTTCAAAGTAGACAATTAGACACCTTAAAATATAAAATTGCTTTAAGAGAAGGATCTTTGATGTTGAGAAAGGGGTGGTGTAATAGTGCTCTTTTAAAAAATAACAACAAGAGGGGGTGGTGGGGGAGAGATAAACCACAGAACGTATATGCATGTGTGCATGAACAATGAACATGGACAACAAAGCTGGGGACAGGGCGGGGAGGGAAAGGGAGGGGGAATCAGTGGGGGGAAAAGGAGAAACATCTGTAACAAAAATAAATTAATTAATAAAAAAAGAAAACAACATATTTTTATTGACTTTTTAGAGAGGGAGGGAGGGAGGGGGAGAGAGAGAGAGAGAGAGAGAGAGAGAGAGAGAGAGAGAGAGGTGAGAGAGAAACATGGATTGGCTGCCTCCAGCACACTTCCCACCCTGGATTGGAGCCTGCAACCTGGGCATGTGCCCTGACTGGGAATGGAGTGTGCAGACCGGGAATTGAACGGGGATGATTCTCAATTCACAAAGCCACACCAACCAGGCTGTAATAGAGCTCTTAAACAGTACAACCTTGGAAGCTAGAATGCAAAGCTTTCTTACCCCAACTTGCCACCTTTTGCCTAACTGCTGTTAGCCTAATTTATTAGCCTCTTTCTTCTTAGTATTTTTCACATCTGTAAAGCACTCTTCTGTGCTGGGGCAT